TGATAACAAGTAAGACTGGTTTCTGAGTTTCACAGCTGGGGTGGACGAGGCTAAGCATCAGGCTTTCAAATGAATTAAAAGTCTGTCTGGGTCTTTGGTTGATTAATAGGCTGGTGTGAAAAAATTTCCTTTATAAATCCTTTGTAAGGTATACCTGGTCGTTGCTTTAGTTAAGGTCACACAAAGTACGTAACAATTAGTGGATGGTATGTACACAGCCCTGGTGTATGAAGATAGGAACACAGACTGTAAGCTGTGTTCAAGGTCATGAACCACTTTGTGTCCCTTCATTATCAGACTGGTGTCTATGTGACCGAGTAACTGTGGGAATGTTTTTCTTGGAAGTAAAGAAAACTGCATCTAGAAATTGTGAAACAATTTCAGTAACATATTCCTCAATCTAAAATTGCCAAGACAATATCTTATCGGGTACATCACATAATATCATTTCTGAGAATCTGGTGAAATATCTGTGTGCAAGGACCAAGAACTGCACTGCACAGCCTCAGGAACACTTTTGGAAATAAAATGTCTGGGAACACAGTTCACCGTGACATCCACCAATCCAAGCTGAAGCTCTATCATGCAAAGCTCCTTATATGTAAACATGATGCAGACACACCACAGTCTTCCCTGAAAAAGACATCATCTGTATTAAAGCATTTTACACTGTGTCCAAACCCTTTTCAGACTAGGACTGTTTGTTTTTTGTTTGTTTTTTTATTTGGGGCCTGATTTTGACCTTGTATTTTGTGATGGCCAAACCCATGGCTACACTCTAAAGTCGCTAGCTCTTGTGTATTTTCATTCCTTTATTTGAACACAATAACACACTTTACTTTCCAATAAGTTTGATGACTGGTTTGGATACATTTGTTCTATTTGTAAGCGTGCACATTTAGTTTACTTATGTATTCATACTATTTCATTAACTTGATTTTTGACTAACCTTTGTTTCTTTTACTTCTTACCTGCCATGATCCATGGAAGTTGCCAGACAAAAGGTGGTCGACAGGTTTTGAAGCTGTTAAATACAAAAAGGGATAACTGGACCGCACTACCACTTCCTGCTGAATGGGAGAATGTGTGTTTTCTTTAATTAACAACAAAGTATTTGTACTTAATTAAATATTTGAGATTAGGGTTCAGTAGTTTTGATTTTTTTTTCTTTGGTGTTTAGTTTATTAACAAACCAGACTATACTGCATTGTTTGTTGTTTACAATTGTGTTTTGTTTAGTTACCCCTCGTGTGTCATAGTGGTCTGATCAGCCTTGTGTGTCATTTCATGTTTAATAATAATAATAATAATACATTTTATTTGAGGGCGCCTTTCAGAAACCCAAGGTCACCTTACAAAAAACACAATTAATAAAAGGAACAATAGTCATAAAATACATAAAATAAGTTAAAATTACAAAACAGAGCGTGACAACAGATAAAATCAGCATTAAAGCGAATAAGCCAGTTTAAACAGATGTGTTTTGAGCTGTGTCTTAAATACGGAGAGGGAGTCAATATTTCTTAGTGCAGGAGGAAGAGAGTTCCAGAGCCGAGGAGCAGAGCGACTGAAAGCTCTGTTCCTCCCAGTGATGAGGTGTGAGGACGGAACAGTAAGATGAATAGCAGATGATGATCTGAGAGTGCGGGAAACAGTGGTGATATGGAGCAGGTCACACAAATATGAAGGAGCAGATTTATGGATACACTTGTATGTAAGAAGTAAGATTTTAAAATTTATCCTGGCATCTACGGGCAACCAGTGAAGCTGCTGAAGAACTGGGGTAATATGAGCACTTAACGGAGTGCAAGTTATGACCCGAGCTGCAGAATTTTGAAGAAGTTGGAGTTTATGAAGGGACCTTTTAGGGAGACCAAATAGGAGGGAATTACAGTAATCAATACGGGATGTAATAAGACTATGGACAAGGATGGCAGCAGCATGGGGGGTAAGGAAGGGGCGGAGTCGGTTAATATTACGTAAATGGAAGTAAGCAGACCGGGTATGTAATTAATGTGAGACTGGAATGAAAGAGTATTATCAAGTATGACACCCAAACTCTTAACCTGAGGGGAGGGAAGGGTGGGAGAATTTTCAATGTTAATGGAAAAGCTGTGGGATTTGGTTAAGATAGATGGTGAACCAACAAGTAAAACTTCTGTTTTATTACTGTTTAGTTTGAGGAAATTGGAGGAGAACCAGGATCTAATCTGGTCTAATCTCCCCCTCTCGGACTGTCATATGACAGTCCGAGAGGTGGGAGGGATGAATTGGGTTTAGAAAGAATGTAGAGCTGGGTGTCATCGGCATAACAGTGAAAATTTATATTATATTTTCGGAATATATGACCAAGAGGAAGCATATAAATAATGAATAAAAGAGGCCCCAATGCTGAACCCTGGGGCACACCAGCAGAAACAGGAAAGAGAGTTGAAGAATGGGATTTAAGTTGGATAAACTGAGTGCGGTCTGAGAGATAGGAGGTAAACCAGGCAAGGGGGGTGTGACTAATGCCAATGGAAGCTAACCGGTTCAGGAGAATATTGTGAGAAATGGTATCAAACGCCGCACTAAGATCAAGAAGGATGAGGATGGATAGGAGACCAGAATCAGCTGCCATCAGAAGGTCATTGGTAATCCTTAACAGAGCAGTTTCTGTACTGTGATTGGGGCGGAAACCAGATTGAAATTGTTCATAGAGATTATGGTCATTGAGATGTAAATGAAGCTGGGCGGCGACAACTTTTTCAAGAATTTTTGAAATAAAGGGGAGATTTGATATAGGGCGAAGATGATCAAAGTTATTGGGGTCTGCACCAGGCTTTTTGAGAGTTGGAAAAACAGAAGCCTTTTTCAGTGCTTCAGGAACAATCCCAGTGTTCAGGGAGGAATGAATAATATTGGTTAGGAGAGGAGCTAAAGAGGGAAGACAGGCTTTAACTAACACAGTAGGGAGAGGGTCAAGTTGATAGGTGGATGACTTAGATTAAGTCATCCACCTGTCAGGTGAGTTATGTTTGTTTAGGCAGTCATTTGGTTTGTTAAGTTTGCAGTTCAGTTTTGTTTCTTTGACCTCTTTTATGAGCTCAAATTTATTAGTTTTGTAAATATAATTTTTGTAATAATTCCTGTGACGACTCCTGCTTTTGCAGGTCCATCACATATTTGAAGAAAAAGATTTTAAATTCAATATTAGATGTGTCAGCAGTGCAGCAGAATCACAAAACTATGGCCATTTGTTTATGTATTTATTATTATTTATTTTGTATTTCAGCAAAGTATTCAAAGGAAGAGGTTAGCAAACAAATGTGGGGGAGTCAGGGAGATGAAAAAAGTGGACAGGAGTGTTGTAATGCTGGGTGTACAGCAAAGGAGAAGGCTTATAGTGAGTAATGAGCACTACAGATGCAATGTTTGTTTTGAGTAGTGGCAGTTATGGTAGATGAGTTTAAATTCCTGGTCTCCCATCCAAAGCAAGGGACTGTGCCCAAGAGTGGTGAAGGAGAGACACAGGCATGCAGGGTTGAGTGGGTGGAGATGACATCAGGGGCATTCAGGACCTGCTACAATGTATGGTTTGGAGATTGTGACACTGACCAAAGGAGGTGCTGAAGGTGGAAGAGCTGAAGATGTTAAAATTTTCGTTGAGAGTGATCAGGAGGACAAAATCAGTATATCAAATGGACAGCTCAGGTTGAGGGGTTTGGTGACAAAGTAAGAGAAGCAAAACTGAGATTGTCTGGATATGTTCAGAGGAGGGATAGTGGATATATTGGACAAAAGATCCATGCAGGAAGCAAAGAGAAAGCCTTCATAGGAGGTTAGGGATGTAGTGGATGTAGGAGGACAGGCAAAGGGTTTGTGTGACAGAAAAGTATGCTAGGGATCGGGTGGCATAAAGGGAAATGATCTACTGCGTCAACCCCTAAAGGGAATAGCCAAAAAAAGACGAAAAAAGAAAAGAGACATGACAGCATTGTATATTTATACACTCGTCATTGAGTACAGCTAATCTAAGATACTTCATGTGCCTTTTAGAATTCAAGCAATACTTCATCTGTTAGGATGCAAGCCTTCTATAAATGGATCAGATGCTGCAGTTCTGCATGTGTACTGACTGTAATGATTTGTACAGTATTATAGAATGATACAGAAAACGCTTTCATTTTATAAGCTTACATTACACAATTTCCACATTCAATAACACATATTGAAAAAACTATATTTTTACAAAGCTGCTAACAGGGTTACTATAAAATAGTAAAATACAAAGTAACATGGGAAACAAATTCAGCTCACTCGCCATCTAGTGACTGATACCCTTCACTTTATGGATTATCTCTCTTTAACAATGATCTTCAACACAGATATGTGCAGTGTTGGGGAGTGCTGGGGAGTAATGGAATACATGTACCGGCGTTACGTATTTAAAATACAAAATATGAGTAACTGTATTCCATTACAGTTACCGTTTAAAAGGTGATAATTAGAATCCAGTTCCTTTGTTGAAATAAATGGATTACATGGCAGTCTTTTCCTGTTTAATATGTTAGGCTATCCCCTCTCTAATTCTCCAACAAAACACACAATTAGAGGCTCTAATATAAGTGTCCTGTTAATGTTGGTGGCCTCGGTTACACAATGGACCCGGAGCCAGCGCAATCACCAATTTACATTTAGAGAAGAAAGGGATGGGTGAAATCTGAGCGTGCAATGCAAACTTTGTTTGCCAGCAACCAATCTGCTCTCAGCGTCAAAAGACTCCAACCTAAAGAAATATCTGGAAGTAAGTTGTTTTTTAAAAAAAAACTAACATTAGCCTACTGCAGCTAGCTTGTTTTAGTTCTGGTAGCTACCTGGATTATGTGTGATTTACTACTATTACTGAAGGCTACTCGTCACCAAGCTAACATTGTTAGCTGGCGTTAGCTGAGGTTAGTTCATAGACAGTTAGACTTGCTGGATAGCATTAATAACCTGCTAGCTGCAAATGTGCACTTCTGAATGCAGTCTATGAACTAACCCCAGCTAATGCCAGCTAGCAATGTTAGCGCGTTTGCGAGTAGCCTTCAGTAATAGTATATTTACGTAGTTGTAAAAAGCATGACAATATTATGTAATCCAAAGTACTTAGAATACATTACTCACACTGAGTAACTTAATAGAATGCATTGCAAACAACATTTTGGGGCATGTATCCTGTAATCTGTAGTGGAGTACATTTCAAAAGTAACCTTCCCAACACTGGATATACGTGTGTTAGCATCTCTGCCTCGCTCTTTGTTTACATCATCCTATTCCATCTGACTGTCTTTGCCCCCCTCTGGCATGAGATTCAATTCTTCCTCTTCCTCTTCTTCCAGCGTGCAGTCACTCATTTGGCCCCAAAGTGGAGCCAGTCTGCCCTCTGCTGTCACACCCATTGGCTGAATGATTTGTTCACTGAGTAAGAAACAGTATATACATTATTATAAATGAAAGTTTCTCTTTAACCATACTGTGTGTTCTGCATTATTAACACACTCACCGTGACAGTCTGTTGATCATGCTGATGAGGTGACGTGCCTCCTCTTCTTTCTCTTCGTCCGTCATGCCCTCCATTGGATCAGGCTGGTCTGCTTCTACCCGGCCAGTCACCAGGTTAATCTTGGCTTTGGCCTCTCGGTACTCTTCTGTGTCTGAGTCTGAGTCGCTGGAGTACTGGCTGTTACTAGAACTCATTCTACCATTAAGCAGTCCCCGAGCTGCCAACAGCCCTGCAGCATTGCCATATCCAGTATATTTGACAAATCGGCTGACTGTGAAGGGAACACAGAAGAAAGTGTTTCCATATGAAATAATTTCCTACTGTGCAGTGAGTGTTTCCATGTAAATTTCTGAAATGTATTTTATCTTTTGTCATATTTATTTATTTATTTTTAATTCACTTTCAATTCTAAAGTGTTCCCTTGTTTTGTGTGTTTGTGTTTGCATTCCTGGCTCCTTTCCAGCCTTGTTAGTATTTCTATTGGTTTTACCTGTGAGTGCCAACAATAAAGCTGCCCTTTGAGCTACTTCCTTTATATTCAGTCCTAAACCTGCCCGTCAGTATGCTTTAATAGGTGTTAATAGGTATTAACAGAAGAGTGGAAGTGAAAGACATATGATTGAAAAATTAAAGTTATTACAGTTTTCATGTTTTGTTTGTTTGTTTGTTTGTTTTGTTTTTGTTTGTTTGTTTGTTTGTTTGTTTGTTTGTTTAGATCAGGATATCAGGGACAAGATTATAGATCTGCACAAGGCTGGAATCGGATACAAGACCATTAGCAAGAAGCTTGGTGAGGAGGTAACAACTGCTGGTGCAATTAAATGGAAATGGGAGAAATATTAAAGACCATCAATTACCCTCAGTCTGGTGCAAGAGCTTACTCCATGAGAAAGTTGGTGGATTAGACCAAAAGTACAGGGTGGACCATTTATATGGATACACCGTAATAAAATGGGAATGGTTGGTGATATTAAAGTCCTGTTTGTGGCACATTAGTATATGTGAAGGGCAAACTCCTCAAGATGGGTGGTGACCATGGTGGCCATTTAGAAGCCGGCCATCTTGGATACAACTTTTGTTTTTTCAATAGGAAGAGGGCCATGTGACACATCAAACTTATTGGTAATGTCACAAGAAAAACAATGGTGTGCTTGGTTTCAACGTA